CAGCAGGCGCTGATCTGCTGTAGACTTCCACCAGCCGGGAGGCTGACGTTAGCCAGCTGTTTTATTCCGAATCTCACCCAAGAGCAAACCCTGGGCACTGGGTGCTGAGATCTCGCTTGGAAGGAAATGTACAGTGCCACAATACCTGCAAAATCCTTGGTGATGCGTTGCGTAATGGAGTTTGCAGAGAATAAGGCATTTGGGCAGTTTCTGCATGTGGAGGTATTCATATAAATCGGAACATTTTAATGTGTTGTGACTAAGCATCTGTTCAAAATTGCCTTTTAACCAAATCATCCAGAAAGCAGGAACTGGTACGTACTGAGAGAGATTTTACTGAACACGTATTTTACGGCTTGGTTCTGCCTTCTTTAAGCAGATTTTTTTCATGCAATAGAACTGTTCCCTGTTGTCCTCTCCTCCTTCAAAATGCAGTTCAGAACATGTCCCAGCCAGAGAAGAAAGAACGAACTATTTTGAGAGAGGAGGAGAACCGGGCCCGTTAAGCAACCAAGTGCTGTTGCATGGGGATGGGTGAGAAGCTGTGAGTTATTGCAAAGATTAAAACCGACCACAAAAAGCTTGTTAAGCTAAATACTTTCTCAGTCTCACGAGCTGTTGCATGCAGCTTGCTGCTTGTGGGTCGCTGTGGGTTTTACTGACCGTGGCAGTGGTGACGGGTGGGGGAGTGGCTCTTCAACACTGGTTTTCAGACCCAGGCTGGCTTTTCCCCCACGTCTCGTTGATGAAAACTGTCTCCATCTGTGGAGGCCTCTGTGAAGAAATCTTACTCACTAGTGTCTACAATTCTCTGACAGTGTCTTGGAAGAGAAGTATTTATACTCTACCTTGATGTAGGGAGAAAAAATACATATATAACCCATACAAAGCACAGCGGGGGTTCCTCAACCAGCCACTGATGCTTAAGGGGCTTGCTCTCCAGGATGGGAGAGATGTAGGCTGTTCATCTTCTCCTCTGTGTGTCTGTAGTTGTGGTATCTCCATGCAGCTCACCTGTCTGATCCCCATCTAGTGCAGAGGCTGGGGAGCATCTTCAGCTCACGCCAACAGGTGGATCAGCGGGGCAAGGCTGGACCCGGGTCCTCTGATCCGAGTTCATCCCTCTGATTACTGTTTGAACTGTTGTGGAGGCTTCCCTTTGGTAAAAAACGATGCAAAGGATCTACGTTAGACTTGGGCTTTTTCCTGTGTGATGAAAGGAAAAGTCCCTCCCTCTGCCTCTGTAATCTGTCCCCACTTATCCCTGCATTGCACCTTCGATGAAAGGCAATGGGACTGGTCAGGGCGGGGGGCTTCCCCCGGAGCCGTGGGGACGGCCCGGCGAGCCTCCACAGCTGCGGCCGGAGCGAAGGGAAGCCGTCACCTCAGCTCTGCCTGCCTTGGCGGACGTGCTCGTGCTGATGGAGAGGAGCTGTCTGGGCTGCTGGGGCTCCGGCGTGGTCAGAGCGGGTCGTTGCTCCGAGTCACATCGGTGCCTTGGAGATGGGCGTAGGAATCGCCAACGAGGGCTGCTTGTCTCCCAAGGCTGAGAACGTGGGGATTTCTCTTCCACAATCACAACTAAGAGGGATGCAACTGCCTGCGCAAGGGCACGGTTCAGAGGAAGGGAGAGGCTTCTCACCCTGTCATTGCCATGAGCGTTGTGGGGACCTTCCCTGAGTCACTGCAGTGAAAACGTCCGAGAGCATCCCGGCTGCGCAGCAGATCAGGCCCTGTGCTTGAGATGCACTGAATCACAGAATGGTAGGGTTTGGAAGGGACCTCTGTGGGTCACCCAGTCCAACCCTCCTGCCGAAGCAGGGTTACCTACAGTAGGCTGTA